TATTTTTTAATGTATTTTTCGAAGTGTGTATTTACAATTCAATTTATTTATGAAGTTGATCGCCCCTCGCCTATTGGTCCCAAGCAAACGATTAACGTACCCTATTCTAGTTGAAATTCTATTACTACACTATGTTTGTTTTGATTCGCTATGAAAGTTTGACAGATAACATCAGGGGTGTGTGGATTCATGCAGAACATGCAGGGGTGAGTGAAATAGCTTGGGACTGCTTGGGACCGTTGTTCTGGTACTGAGTGAGCCAAAAATAATAATGATTTTCTTCGGACCTAGTGGTCTTAGAGTTACCTCTATGATTCTACTTTGCCTCCGCCTCCGATTCCGCCGTTTCCGCTCGTTTCAGGAGTCCCTCGAGGAGCCCAGCCAGTTTCAAATGTAATAGTACGTTCAGACTACAGAGTTATAACATGTTACAGCGCTATCTTGATGGTGGTTTCTGTGTTGCAATTATTTGACAACCGTTATAACATGTTATAACCATAGAGGTAACTCTAAGACCACTGGGTCCCGAAGAAAATCATTATTATTTTTGGCTCACTCAGTACCAGAACAACGGTCCCAAGCAGTCCCAAGCTATTTCACTCACCCCTGCATGTTCTGCATGAATCCACACACCCCTGATGTTATCTGTCAAACTTTCATAGCGAATCAAAACAAACATAGTGTAGTAATAGAATTTCAACTAGAATAGGGTACGTTAATCGTTTGCTTGGGACCAATAGGCTACTAAAGTGGTGAGCCAATTTAAAATCGTTAGTTTCGTATTGATTGTTGTTATAACTCTCCAGTCTGTACAGCGTTTAAAGTACAATACCAAGATTTATACATAATCATTTAAACCGTTTAAACCAAACGGCCAAAAATTCCCGAAAAAAAAAATTACAGTGAAATTTTCAGTGGAAACAATGCTCTAACATTAATATTTATTGTCGACAATAAAAATGATTGTTATAATGTTGTACTCTTCCGAAAACGGCAAAACTGCTACCTAGCTGTACAATGAATGTACATAATAAAATGTTGTTACAATGATTTTTATCGTATTTTTCATTTATTTTATTGTTAACATGATTCGATCATGAACAATAATGAACAACTCTATTACAATAAAAATTGTTGTTACATTAAATATTGGTGTATTTTCATTGTGGGTTACTTCACGAACAATAAAAATTAATCTGATTGAAGCATGCAGACTATGAGAGGGTCAGCAACACTGCCAATGTAATTAAGATAGGCGCTGCTCGTATGGCTCTGGCTTTGACAGTTCATTTGGCTCAACACCAGGCAGTCCGCGTCCGCTCATATCTTATCCTAGACCCTCTCTAAAGCTTAATGGAAACCTTGTCCGTGCAGTCAATAATCATACAATAATAATAAAAAATTCCACCACTTGAAGATGTCAGGAAGGAACTCTCAGGTGGAAGCATATTTCAAGAGCAAATTTTCATTATGTCGTAAGTAACATTCGCACCGATCCGAGAAAAATAAAGTTTTGTTTTTAAGACCGAAAAGTTATTCCTATTTCCAATTAAACACATATAATCTCATAGTGATAGCAATGTTTAACATATTTAGCCGGGTTTTAATCATACAAAGGCAAATCGCTAGCTTTCATGCTAAGAAATACTGGTTTTTGAGTCAAAAGTTATTATACGTCGTTTGGTGGCCCCCATTGCTACTTAAATCAAAGTGTATTTACCAGGATATTCGGGAGAATTATCAATTACGTCTCCTTACGTGCAGCCCATTAATCATTCAGCAACAAACAGTTCGATTTATTCACTTTAATAATGAGAAAGCGAAACGACGAACGTACACTTTTCACGGGTTTCTCAGCGCTGTTACTTAAGTCAAACGGCATCTCCATAGAAATTGGGTGACTTAAGTAACATCGAAAACTATTTTGATCGGAAGGTGATTACGTCAAAAAGCAATTTGACTGGTAAATAATTTTAAAAATGGGATTTGATCCTATATTCGGACAGTATATAAAGGGTGTCCACGATGAAATTGCCACACACAAAATTGATTCGCAAAATTCGAGTTTTCATCCGATTGCCATCAAATTTTCAGGGATTGAGAAATAACTATTAAACTTCATTTTACCATTTTACTCGTATTTTATTTACAGTCCATACGCAAATGCCCGCACCTTGGCCTTAACCCCGGCCATAAGATTCTGCACAACCTGTGAATCAACCGTTTTTTGCATGTAAACCCATACTTTCTTCAGTTCCTCGACTGTCTTCACTACCTTAGGTCGTTTAAGAAGGTGCTGCTTCATAATCGCCCAGTACTTCTCGATGGGGCGGAGCTCCGGAGTGTTGGGAGGGTTGAACATTTTCGGCACGAAATTGACCTTATTGTCCGCATACCACTTCAGCACGTCCTTGGAGTAGTGGCATGAGGCCAAATCCGGCCAGAAGATTGTTGGGACGTTGTGGGCCTTCAGGAGAGGAAGCAGCCACTTCTGGAGGCACTCTTTTATGTACACCTGTCCGTTCATCGTGTCCTGGGTCACGTAAGGTGCACTCCGCTTCCCGCACGTGCAGATGGCTTGCCAAACCAGGAATTTCTTCGCAAATTTGGACATCTTCTGAGTGCGGACATGCTCCGGAACGCTGAACTTATCCTTGGCCGTGAAAAACAGGTTGCCGGGGATCTGTTTGAAGTCGGCCTTCACATATGTTTCGTCGTCCATGATGCAGCATTCAACTTTCGTCAGCATGTTGAGGTACAACTTCCTGGCACGGGTTTTGGCGGACTTGTTCTGCTTCTCGTCGCGATTAGGGGTCTTTTGTACCTTGAACGTTCGAAGCCCACACAGCAAAAAAAGTTGTTGAATATTACATCGAAACTGCTGCAACCAGGTCAAGCCATCGGTTGTGTAATATCACATTGTACGATGCACATCGATTTTGCGAACAAAATTACATCCATTGATGTAATATTGTATCTGCTTTTTGCTATTACATCATTATTTCATACATCAGCTTGAATTACGTTGATTGATATTACATTTTTTTTTGCTGTGCAGTCTTAGTTTTGGCCTTCTGGACAAAACTTCGGCTTAGGTGCAGCTTCTTAGCCACATCCCTAACGGAGGCGTTCGGATTTCGGTTGAAGGCCCCAACTACGCGGTTGTGATTTTTGGTGTTGTACGGAATACTTTTTCCTTCACTTCTGGGCTTCCGATCGGTGGTCAACCGTTCCTCGAACCGCTTAATCACTCGCGACACCGTGGAATTCGCGATTCCCAACGTTTTAGCGATGGAACGATGCGAGAGATCCTTGTTATCGTGATGAATGCGCAAGATTTTATCACGCACGAGCTGTTCTTTCGACTCCACTTCCGCGAGTTTTGATCACAGAACTTTAAAACTTGCAGGATGTAAATAATGCACTATGGACTAAATCCACCCAAATTTTCATTAAATTCTACCCAACGGTTAAAAAGTTAGAGCAATTTCATAGTGTGGCAATTTCATCGTGGACACCCTTTAGTGTAATAGCAGGAGAATCGATTGACACTGATAGCTCGACTTTGTTTACCTTTGTTACATTCGACGTAATGAAAATTTGCTCTTGATTTCATGGGTGATTCTCTCCAGTCGAATGCATTAACTTGTCAACGACGCTCAACCACCAAGGAGACGTGACCTAGGGATATCGAGCGCAGGGGAGTTGGCCTGCATTTCTCACAAGTTCCGGATCGAATCTCGATCCATAACCAGTAAAAAAAAGGACCACCCGTAACAGACATACCACCTCCTTCCCTTCCCGGGGCAAAGTTTTATTTTTTCGATTTATTTTTAAAGTCGATAAAGTAGATCTGTCAAGCCAACACATACACTCTAAAGTACACTGTTATTTTTTTTAAATCAATAAATTCGCCAACCAACAGTAAAATAACAATAATATATAATGTTATTGAAAAAAAATTATATGGGAAAATCACGAAAATTTCATTGTTAAGATACTTACACTAATAGAATTCCACACATTTTTATTGGCGAATTTCCATGTAAAATTCCACATGATTTTCATGTGACCACACATAAACAGAATCCACATAGAAGCACATATGAAATGTATGAGTCAAATAAATAGTATTTGTGGGTACACATGGCTTTTATGTGTACACATATTAAGTATGTGTCCGACCCATAGATATTATTTGTTGATCAAATTGCAAAAATTCATGTGTGGGACACATAAAAACAATCTTTGAAATTTTATCAGTGATAACAACCCCCCTTTTTTTATTGTAAATTTTCCATTTACCATGAAATTTATTGTTTTGTACAACATAAATCAAGGCTTGAGTGTTCACTCGGCTGTCGACAAAAGCAGGCCACTCTCGATGTGTGCTGCGCGATCGTCTGTTTTCTCGGCAGCAACCATTGTGTGGTCCTCCTCATTGTTCTTCATCAGCAGTTCTTTCGGTCGATGCGTCGTCGACTTTGGAAAGCAACCGTTTCGTGATGAGTGTGTGAGTGCTGACCACGTTTTGCGTCCATTGCTGCAATGGACGCACTCTGACCCTCGTTGGCGTACAACAATTTGCCATACAATGAAACTACTGGAAGCGGCTCCAGTTCTGATGGAGGATACTTTTTGGATAGCGGAAGATAAAGTGTTTATTGTGTTGTACCTTTTGACTATAGTTTTAAGATGTATTGTATAGTAACCAAGAATCCTCGGCTCTGTAAAGTTAATTCGGTTGAGCCTTATCAAATAAATTAATAAACAAACAAACATAAATCAAGGTAAATTTATTGTAGACGTAACAATATAAATCATTGTTAAGACAATAATTTTCGTCTTATTGTTACATTGTTTTTTAATGTATTTTTGTTGTTATTTTTTTTCGGGTTGAACCTTGAATTGAACCCTGAGCTTGTGACTGATTTTAAAATATTGGAAACGTCAAACTTCATTGTTTGTACACATTGCATACGCACAAAAAATCTTCGGTCGCGTCTGATGGTGTTGGCTTCTCGGTTTTCTGGGGCTGATTTCAATTCCGCCGTGTAGGTAGTTATTTTACGAACCAAAATGGGTCGTCGCAAAGCCCGGATGTGTCGCTTGTGCCTGTCGACTACCACAGTTCTCCGGTCGATTTTTACCATTTTTCGGAACTACAACTTGGTGTTCATCATCCGAGACTTTATCAAACTGCAGGTAAGTAATCCACTCAGATTTCAATTCAAGTGATTATCATCCAATGATCTTAGGTGAAAGAGGACGATAAATTACCCAAGCTGATTTGCAAATCCTGCGCGGTCAAACTGATTCGCGTTCGGGAAACTTTTACGCTGTTCATTGAGAGTGATCGGAAGTTGCGGGAGAAGTTGTCGGATGTTGATACGGAACTTACGGATGTGGTGGATGAGTTGCGCCAGGATCGAAAGAGGAAGTACACCAAGCGAACGGACTTCGACGTCGATGATAACGGTGATGTCGATGGCGATGACTATAATAAAAGTGAGGAGTCAATCAAAAAGGAAGTTACTGACAGGAGTGGCTCCGGCGAACAGACGGTGGATAATCATTCGTAAGTGTGCTTTTATTGAGAAACCGGAGCAGATACATTTATTAGGAAATTATTTTCAGAATCGAATTTAGTGAGGTCAAGGAAGAAGTTCGGGTGAGCGACGAGGAAGACGATCTTCCTCTGAAAACTCTCACGGGTGTCGCAAATGACTCAATCTTATCTGCCGTTGTAAAATATGAAGAGAAACCCCCGCTGATAGATGAATGTAAGCAGGAAGATAAACGAGATTTGCCAGTATTGGCGGACAACGGCGAGACTGTCGATAGGAAGGATGATTTTGATGATAGTAATTTTGATGATCCGGTTGCTCAAAGTTCTATACATTCCGATGACGATAGTGAGTACGAAGCACCGAAGAAGAGAACACGTGCTTCATGTCGGGTGAAGAAGAAGAAGGAAGCGGTGAGCAAAGCGAAACCAAAGAGAACTTACACAAGGCGAAAGCAAACCGTAAAAGTAGAGATCGATTCGGAGGTTGAAGACGAAGAAGACGTGGATGATGAGGATGGAGATAAAACGTTTGAAGTTGGCACAGAACTCAAGCATGATCACAAAAACATTGAGCTGATTGTTTCCGAAGACGAGGTGAAAGCGAAAAAGAAGAGAGGCAGACAGAAAGGAACAAAAGTGTCGAAAGATCCTGCAACACCAAGACGCAAGCCGGGTGCTCCTAAAAAGCTGCCGGAAAGAACGGAACCGGTTCCAACGATGTACGACTTCAAGTGCTACATTTGCAATAGCGATTCGTTGGGTTCCAAGAAAGCCCTGATCGAACATTTTGCGACCCATGTGGACAAAGTTCCGTACACCTGTAAGGAGTGCGTAATGGAAACGGTCGTCATAACCAGGGTGAGAGGTTTGAACAGTCACATGAAGATGCACGCACAGCCGGTCAAATGTGACTACTGTGACCGTCGGTACAGCAATGCCGCCGGCAAATACTATCACACCCAGGTTTTTCATCTGGGCGGTGGAGCACCGTGTTTGGTCAACTGTGAAGTCTGCGGTAAAACATGCGGCTCGCAGAATGCTCTCAAGTCGCACATGAAGTATCATACAACCAGTCTGAAGTGCAGCAAGTGCGATATGGTGTTCAATCATCCGAACAAACGGCGGAACCACGAGAGACTGCACGACGAGAATAGGGGCTATGAGTGCGTCGTATGCAAGAAGGTGAGTGAAGGTAGACTGTTAAAATGACTTGCTTCTAATTGTGAGTGATATTTGCAGGTTCTTCAAACGATTGAATCGTACGATGTGCATCTCAAAAAGCACAGCCAGGAACGAAGTTATCTGTGCAATCTTTGTCAGAAGAAGTTTAATACTTCCAGCAATCTGATTCTTCATCTGAAGGTGAGTATCGCATGTTTTTTTTTCTTCTTAGGAGCAGTGGCTCAGCCTGGTGGGGTGACCCCTCGGAAAGGTTACACCCTCGTGATATGAAATATACTTAACCTTTACGTACCCGACCTCGTGATCCCAACATTAAATTTCTGTCTTGTCATCAATCAACATTTCACGAAACAACTTTCAAATGGCCACACATTGCAGCAAATTTCATTACTGCTCTGGAATACCGAATCAGATGCCACCGAAATACAGTGCTGTTAGATATAATAGCAGCGCATGCCGATTTTCGTACATAATTGTCAACTTTGACGTAGTGATGTAACTTTGCTGTCTTATGATCAGGGTTGTTTCCACTCACTTGCTATAAAAAAATATTTTTCGGAATTATGCAATCATTAGATGTTATAATGATATGTTGTACTTGTAAGTAACAAGAAGAGGGTGTAAAGTATGTGTTTGACTGATAAAACCTGTCAATTCCGCTTTCAGAGCGTCACAATCAGCGATCTTATGATTCGTGAGCGCTCACGAGTCGTAAAATCGCTGATTGTTACGCACTGGAAGCAATATTGACAGATTTTATGTGTCAAACATATACTTCATGACCTCTTCTTGTAACTTACAAGCACTAATTAGCATTATACTATTTCATGATTTCATAATTCCGAAAAACATTTTTTATAGCAAGTGAGTGGAAGTAACCCTGCTTATGATAAATGGAGCTAAACCATAGTCACAGAACTACAAACATGTTCAATTTTACGATTACAAAATACCAAATTTTTGGAAGCACCTGCCGAAAAGTGAGATACTAGGTAAAATTTGTCATAATGATTCGTGAACTTTTTTTTATTGATAACTCCTAATCAGGCGTTGAAGTTTGAATTGCTGTTATGAGTAACGTAAAACAAGATTCGACATTTACACGCTCACTTAAGTTTTTTTTTTTTTTCTTTTGGTTTGTTTTTTTCCGTCGATCTTGTTTTCCGTGCTGAGCACCAATGCTACCGACGTGCCAGAAAGGTAGCTCCCACACCTGGACCCTACCTATCGACCCATCATCTCATGAACCGGGGACCAACGGTTTTACTTCCCATCCGAAGGAAGGCGTGATCAGAGATGTTATGCCTCAGAACCTCCCGGCGGCCCCGACTGGGATTGAACCCTGGGGCGAGAGGTAATCACGCTTACCACTACACCACCGGTGCCGTTAATCTCACTTAAGTTAAATTGAATTCACTATTACAAATGAAACGTATTGTAAATCCGCATAAAAACGAAACGGTTGCATACTGTCGCGCTTGTGTTAAATTCTCATTTGGTGACGGTCGAAACGCGCCGCTCATAAGCGCGATGCAACTCCGCCCATAAGGATTATACACAGGTGTGTAACTTAGATAGTATTTTATGGCAGCGACTTGAGGAGTGAATCCTGGATAAATAGCCGCCGTGTGTTAAATCAATGGGCGCAGTCGTACGGCCATAAACAGAAAGCAGATGGTATAATCCCATTTTGGGAAATTATCCTGCAACACACAATACAAGCTGCCTTCCCAAATTCATTTTTACCGCCACTGGAAACGTGAACTGGTTTGTGAGACTCGTTGTAAAGCCCAAGGTTCGAATCCTAACCATTTTCTCTCGTAAAAAAAATCAATCGAACTAGAAAGAGATTGAAGAGATAGAGTTTGAATCGGGTCAATATCGTAGTTGGTGAGATTTGTCGTTTAAAAAGGTCGTTAATTACTTCGGTAATTGACGTACTTCCAACCACGAAGACCATGATCACGATTTGATCTGAGGGTGTTTGGAACGTCCACTAGTTCATTTTGACCTGGACCGTGGAAGAGGCGAGAGTGCTTGAAATAGTTCTTGTGTCGCGGTGTGCCTTAATTGGTAGTTATTAAAAATGTGAGAAGTCTAGTGATCAAATTTAATGTCGTTTCCTTCGTGTAGCCTAAAAGTTCACTGCCTATAACCCCAGATCAGTCCCATATGGAAAAAGCAGGCATTGAGAAAATAGCAGTTGAAGTTAAGAAGTGCAATTTCCATGTAAATATTAAAACAATCATAGTTTAGTCATATTATCGTCATTAATCGATAATTTTGACAAGTTAAAATCAGTTGCAATGAAGCTTGCATGTATTGTTATATTAACGAAAAATATGACGATTCAAAAATTTCAGTATGAGACTGGTATGCGATTACTTTGCTTGCTGGGACAAACTGACTTGATGTCGTTTCATATTTTTCATGATCAAAGTCCGTAGTTTTATCACGTAATATGAAAGTAGATGTCAATTGATAGTGGATAGTGTTATTATCTTAAAATTGACGAAAATCCTTATGGGACTGATATGAGATTATAGGCAGTTCAGCATTTAGGTCAAAGTTGACGTGCGGTCAGTGTGTGTGCCCCTCCCCTTGGCTAGTTTTTGCACCTTGCTGTTGGTGGGCGGGCTTAATTTCATGCTTTATAGTGGAGTGTTGGAGACGGTAGGTTTATGGCCAGCGTGGCTGGCTCATGCCGCGATAGAATGGCGTCATGGGCAGGCAATGGGGATTACTAAGCTTCCCCTCTCTGATAAACCACTGCATGAGAGAACCAAAGATCTAGTCTAGCAGTGATAGTATCACACTTGTTACTCCTTTTATTGAGAGCCGCGTCGTAGTACGCTTACGTATAGGCACTGACGTTGGGTGTGATACTGGCGGGTTTTGCCGCAAATCACTCTTATTTTATTTATTTTTACGGAGATAGATTTATTTTGGTTTGCAAGGGAATTATACTATTGAAATATTTCAGAAAGTGCCCAACGGTGCTCCTTCTATTTGCGTGACAAGCTTTCATTGTTGTTTTCATTGAAGTATTACTCAGGAAACAATGTTAAACATCATTTTTGTACATGGTATTGTAACTAATCTTATATGTGCTTCATTTTGACTTGGGATAAGTGTTTGAACTATGGCTCGAGATTTCCACTGTGGTGTGCTTCTATTGTGACATACCCATATGTATTTTTGTGGTGCGACATAGTGAAAACGTGAGAGCGTAATTGGAGCATATACCCTATAAAGGGTGATACGGTCAAAATTTGGTCAATATCAACTTGACGTATTTCTTTCAATTTTGCATTTAAAAAACCTGAACACCCCTCATTTTGAAGGTGTGTGTGTGTAGAATGTTGCTCCTATTTTGATTTTGGAATTCACTCTTCAGTTGTCAAAATGCCGTCCAAGCAAGAAGAGCAGCGTATCAAAATTTTGCTCGCGCATCGCGAAAATCCGAGCTACTCGCACGCAAAGTTGGCAAAATCGCTAAAAGTTGCCAAATCAACCGTTACAAATGTAATTAAAGTGTTTGGGGAACGTTTGTCGACAGCCAGGAAGTCTGGATCGGGGGGAAATCGAAAACCGGAAGCCGCTGAGACGACAAAGAGAGTTGCCGGTAGTTTCAAGCGAAACCCTAACCTCTCTCTCCGAGATGCCGCAAATAAGCTGGGTGTATCGTCTACAACCGTGCATCGAGCCAAAAAACGAGCCGGACTATCGACTTACAAGAAGGCAGTGACTCCAAATCGCGATGATAAACAAAATACGACGGCCAAAGCGCGATCCCGGAGGCTGTACACGACGATGCTGACGAAGTTTGACTGCGTGGTAATGGACGACGAAACCTACGTCAAAGCCGACTACAAGCAGCTTCCGGGACAGGAGTTTTATACGGCAAAAGGAAGGGGAAAGGTAGCAGATGTTTTCAAGCACATGAAACTGTCAAAGTTCGCAAAGAAATATCTGGTTTGGCAAGCCATCTGTACCTGTGGCTTGAAAAGCAGCATTTTCATAGCTTCCGGGACTGTCAACCAAGAAATTTACGTGAAAGAGTGTTTGAATAAACGTCTGCTGCCTTTCCTGAAGAAACACGGTTGTTCAGTACTGTTTTGGCCGGATTTGGCATCTTGCCATTACGGTAAAAAGGCCATGGAGTGGTACGCCGCCAACAACGTGCAGGTGGTTCCCAAGGACAAGAACCCTCCCAACACGCCAGAGCTCCGCCCAATTGAGAAATACTGGGCTATTGTCAAGCGGAACCTAAAGAAGACCAAAAAACTGCTAAGGGCGAGCAGCAGTTCAAGGCAAACTGGCTTTCTGCGGCGAAGAAGGTGGACAAGGTGGCTGTACAAAATCTGATGGCAGGGGTCAAGCGTAAGGCCCGGCAATTCGGATTTGGAAAAGCGGAAGCCTAACTGAATATTTTTCCTGAATTTTATACTAATTGAACTTGAAAAAGAAATTTAATTTGATTTTTTAAATAAACGATTTCACCGATTTACACGCGTTTTCCCTTGACCAAATTTTGACCGTATCACCCTTTATAATTTAAAAATCAGCTAGGAAACTAACTTCAAAATGAAGCATTTTAGTCACATGAAGGTGTTACCTGTGTCGACCTAAGATATAATAAATAGGTATAGGTCAAAATCAAAAGTACTTGAAACACGTTTAATTTTAGATTACAAGCACAAGTGCAGGTACTTAATAAAGCATGGGTTATGCTTGATTAGGTGAATTAGAGCTTTTAATAATTTATTGAATTAGACTAATGAGATATCATAATCATCAAATGAACTTAAATAAGAAACTTCAGAAAGTCTAATGACATTAAGTAGATTAACAAAAGAATTAGGATGCGGGGGGTCCGCTTAGGGAGACAACTAACCTTTAAAGTTGTAGAGAAAATCTTCTTATTTAGTCTTGAACTTTAATAAGAAAACGCAAGCAGATCAATAGCAATAGCAGATTAACAAGGAGAGGAATAGTTTAGAAAATAAGTAAAAGTAGAGGTATGTGACAATTAATAACTTTTAAACTTTTGGAGGTATTGTATTTGGAGCTTACGGAGGAGTGATTCGCAATGCGGTAGAGCTCACCAAATGTTTTTTTTTAGCTTCTGTAGTATAGAATTTGTTCGGTACGGTCGCGAAATCTTGAAATGATTGATA